GGATGAAAACGTTACTTGAAGACGCTAGCCCCATCAGCAAAAGCTGGTTTTACTAACTTTAAGACTAAATTGCCTGCACTGGATCCCCACATTAAAGATATAATGACTTCTTCCTTACAGGGTGCACTGAAACCAGGACTAAAAACTTTAATTTTCAAAACGGTCCAAAAGTGCGCTTTTCGCCGTCCTTATTTCATTAGACCACACAGAACCCATATCATAATTGTTTTTGTTTGTGGAAACACCACGTAAATTTATTACTGGAAAGCTTCCGATCCGTAAGCCCGGATTTTCATCAGTGCTAATAATATGTGCTAATAATTTACGTGGTGTTTCCACAAACAAAAACAATTATATTTTATCGCCATGCAAACATTCAAAGAACTTAGAACCCATATCGATTCTCATATTTCTAAACCAGACTTATTATCTTGAAGAGGGTGTTCGCAAACATACCAGATATTTTTCAAGAGAGCAATGACGTAGACATATATATATGGCGGGGGGGGGGAGGGGGCCTGACCTGACAAAATTTTGGTCCCCCTTGGAAAAATTCTGACCAGTTTAAGCATGCGCATTATATTTTCATTTCTTGTAAATTTCACATCTTCCTAAATTATGTGTTAAATGCATTGTTCTTTAAAATCGTCAAAACGCATTAAAATAGCCCCCAAAATGCTGAAAACGGCACTTTACCGACACTAGGATTTTAAAAAATTTCCGGGCAAGCATAACCCCCTTAAAAGTTCATTGTACTATTATGCATGGACAGCGGGGGAGTACAAATACATTTTCACATAATAAACAAACTTTACTCGAACTAGCGCAGGGTAAAATTGCTTATGCCTCTCCTGCAGGGATTTTTTCGGGCCCATTTAAGCTATGATTCCATTTAAGTTATTTTAAACAAAATGTATCAGATAACATTGTGTTGATCTTTGAAAAATTATGCGGCAATTGCATTCTCTGTACAATGAAACAACATTTCAGGTTTATAAGTGTAATAGTTATTCTCGTTTTTTCGCTATATTTATCTATTTAACACCCCCACCATATTTTTTCTTTGGGGCGGAGGAAGAACACCTATACATAGCAGGACATCTTTATGTGATATAAATTTTGTCACGATATATAACAAGATAAGCACCCGAAGTTCAAAATGTGCAGGTATATGAATAAATTTATGAAACCATGTAGATTTGTTGTTCTGCTTGCTAAATTAATTAAGATTTCAAAGACTTCAAAAGATCATGACGCCACACAAATTATACATATGGCTTTATGATTTTTATTAGCCACGGTCAAACACGAATGAGAGTCAATGAGAATACACGCTTCCGTAAAGTAGGTCACCTTGGCTATAGAGCCTCGTTTTCGTGATTGAGACGTGGCCTTTAACTGATGTCAGATACACGAAATCGAGGCTTTAAAGCCAAAGTGACGTACTTTCCGGAAGGGTGTATTGGCAATCACGAATTGTTACCGGGGACATTTCAAGGTCTACTTTCACAGAAATTTGATTAGGGCTTCACCTATTTTTTAACTTAAATAGATTGCATGTTGTGTTGGGAATTCGAAAGTATTAAGAGACAGGTGACCAAGATCGCGTAACTGCTAACTCTAATGCGCTCTCATCCTCGTCTGGGGTCCACGCTTTAAGTCTGGTTTCCATATGGTCAATGGCCAGTTTATAATAGTTTATACCTGTAAATCACATAATTTAAATCATAAGTACTCTCTAGTTATAATCACTCCGCGTATTTCAGTTTAGTTCTAAGGTGTTGTCTTTCGGCTGATGAGAAAGATAGTGACCAGGCTTTAGTTAACAGTTGAACTCGTAACAAGGAGACCGACCGTGAACAAACATTCAGATACAGTGCATTTAAAAAGTTTAAAATAAAAGGAACCGAGACAGGATGCTAGGTCTAGGAATATCATTCTGGTATAAATTCCCAGGATTTCTAAACAGCAACCTTACATAAGATAATAATATGAGACAAACTAAGATCAGTCAGGTCAGAACGACGACGTATAATTATATATTGTTTCAAATTGTTCAAATTGTAAACCAGGCACAGTTCAATTATTAAATATATTTCAATGAACTGTCTATGTAAAAAATACGAGTTAAGTTAATAAGTAATCATGTTTCAGTTTCGAGCATCCTAAACCACCATTTGACTTGAACCTCGACTACGTTAAAATGAATGAAGAATGGCATTTGGCTTCTCGAAGTGCATCGTTCTTAATTATATGCATGTCAACATGTGAACATATCTCCAACTGGTTATGATTCTACAGTATTGGACAATGGCATGCAATTAATTCATGCACGCGACACTATCACGCCGCAAGGGCCCTAGCTGCCAATCATATGCAACAGGTTTATCGGTGAAGAATCTGTTTATATTCATTAGTATCTGTATTTTTGAAGACATAACACACTCCATGGAAATGTTCGAATAACAAAACATTTTTTTACTAGTTTCAAGATTGCGTGTTTACCAACGCCAATAGTGTACGTAGGCATATTGTCCCAAAATTCAAATGAGTCACACTTCAATTAATAACATATTCCAATCAACTGTTGGAGTTAAATATATAGTTACGAGTTAAATATTCATCCCTCAGTATCGTAAACTCCAGCTGATCTGAACTGCGACTACGGTAAAATGAAGGGAAAATGGCATTTGGCTTACGAAGTGCATCGTGTGTTTTTTGGAACAGCATTCTTACTTCTGACATGTTCGTGTCTTCGTGCCATGATTCGTGCTACTAAAACAACGCCACTCTTCACCAAATCTCGCATCAGCTACGCAATAAATGCTGTCCTCGTTTTTTTCACCTTAAGTCGAGCATTGGCGCTGCTTTTACATGGATACATAAACGACGAAGCAATCCTAACAGTTTTTGCGTTGGACAAATTTCTTTTGAACATAGGTTTTCCATGTTTAATAGCTGCGTATACTCGCATGATCTACCCTTGGCTCGAATATCTTAAACATCGTGTACGGCGTGTGTTCAATATTCTGATAGTGCAATGCTATATATTTATCCTAGCAGGAATCGTAGGGACAACTAATTATGATCAACATGTAAGTTTATACGTCAAACTCGTACTATCATCATGCTCTTTTCTGTGTGCACTGTGCGCCTTCATTACTTACGCGAAGACTTTCTATAGCAATTCTTCTAACGATATTGAAAAATCGAATGGCCTGACTGTAGGAATCATTAATACAACAAGCTGTGAAACGGCAGCCAATGACATGAATGAAAGGAAAGGTACAACTGAAGAAAACATCGTTACTGTCTCGATATCGTGTATATGGATCATATGCTTTGTGATCTGGGGCTGTATTGTGTCTGGAAACCTTAAGCGGTGGGAAAGCGATATATACGTCGAGAGTTGGTATTCGTGGATGTACGCAAACGTACTTCGTATGATAGAATTGGGAAACGCTGCCATCATGTCACATCTGGTACAACGTGTCACGCTCAAGCAAAAATTTCCGTTGCAGATGTAAACTGTAAAACATTCAGTCGATTATGTTATCTCGACTGTGACCGAGTTTAGAGGATCTCAGAATTTAGAGAGTGCAATAACAATTCGTTATACTTGAATATATTTTTAAAATTAAACAAATAATGAAACATGCATGCATGGCTGATATTGTCCTTGGGGAGACACAATCCCTTAGCGGATAGTGCCCAGCTGGGGATTTCTCTGCAGGTGAGACAGTATCCGCTGTAGAGTTTGGGTATTTTCATAGCTCCAGGGTCGAAAATCCAGGGTCGCAAGCATAGAATAAAGATCCACATAGAAGGGCAACTTACGTCGGAAGCTTTGAAGTTTCTGTCCTCGCGCATGTCGCATTACGCATGTTGGCCGCCATTTTTCTAGCCAGTCAATGACATTTTCTGGCCAATAAACACGCTGTACTGGCTGGCTGCTCCGCCTTCTGGTCAGTAAACTGCATATTTTTGCATAAAAAAACGAGGACACGTTGCACCGCTGAGTGGCCATTCTGTTACTGATCTTTATTCTGTGGTCGCAAGTCAAGAGTTGAAAATGGAAATTTATTTATTCATTAATAATACATTAGAATACTATATTTTTCGAATTTGTTGTCAAAGTTTTAAAGGTTTTCCTAGATAACTAACTTGATGAATGTTAGTAAAGGACAATGCCTTAGGGCATAATTAGGTTCCTTTTTTCCATTCGAAAAAATATTGTATTTTATTGTACTACCTGTATCTGAATGAATCGTTGGAATCCCAGCACAGCAGAAAGCTCTCACTATGGTCGTGAGATAATTCTGAACCGAACTAAGATCATCCGTGCTTCGTGCAAGTAATTTTCAACAGTACAATTCAAGTCTCCATTTTATTATATACCACAAGGTTCTCGCAACTATACTATGAATATGAAACTGCCAATCGAAAATGTGCGCTTCCGGTGCAGACATGTGAACACGTGCTGTTAATAGTTCTATATATTTTATGACATCGTTTCCCACACACCCCAAGGCTTTAAGACTTTAAACCTCCAAAACCATAAGCGGTGTGAGGAGTATCGTTAAATCGAAGTTCTGAGCTATTTCAGAACTCTGTCGCCGCCAACAGATAATATATTACTTATAATGTTTGTGACAACTCTGAGTGTGTACCCACACCGGATATGCCTGGCCACGGTGGCCAGGTATATTTTTCAAGCTTGCCCGCTGTGGGTACACACTCAGATGAACGTCACGAACATTATATTCACTTGAGTACATAACAACAAAACACAGGCAAAAATCATATTACTTATAATCAAATTTCTCATGAGAGCAAAACGCCATTTTGTATCATCGCCCATGTGGGTATATGGATTAAACTACATGTAAAATAAAAGATGTATACTTTCAAACATAGCATCAGACGAAACTTTCAGTTATGCATAGCCATAGGTGAAATGTTTCTGTTTTGACAGCATAACTAATTGTTTTGCCGTGTTTAATGGAAGCTTTCAAAGCGGTTGTGAAGCTTTTAAAATAGATAAAAATTTAGTATTTTCGACTTTCGACCCTTGACTCTCGACCTGGACTTTTGCAGACCCTCGACCCTCGACCTGTGACCCTCGACAAGTACCCAAACTCCCACTGTGACACCAGCAATGGACGGAACACTGTTTGATGATTAATTTTGGAATGTATTAATTTACTAGAAGTTACTGTCGCAAGGAAGTTGCTGCCTCGAATGGCACATGTTAGCAAGGGAACAACTTAATTTACGCCGTTAAAGACCGTCTAATCTTCGTTCTAGAATCTCGTTTTGTTCATTGTGTTCCGCGAAGTTTTAAATATCGCGTGTAGCTTTTATCGCGCGTAGCATTCTTGGCTCGCTAGCGGCTCATCGGCATAAAGACAATATGCATCATAATCGCCTAAAATTTCGCTATCAACTGCTTCTAGAGTTCCAATTTCGTGACTAGTATCATTTGATTCATCCTGTATAATATACCTAGGAATATAATTGTATTCTGAGTCACAT